TCAAAGAAGTAGAATAGAAAGAGGAAGAAGAGGAAAACCAAGACAAAGAAGAAAGAGGTAAAAGAAGAAGAAAAAGACATAACAAGCAGAAGAAAGAAGAAGAAAAGAATGAAGAAATGCAAGAAAGAAAAGTAATAGAAAGAGAATAAAAGGAATAGAAAGATGGAAAAAGAAGAATGATGAACAAAATAGAAGAAAAGAACGAATAAAGAGTAAAAGAACGATAGTAAAGGAAAAACAAAAGGTAAAGGAAGAAAGCGGAAGAGAAAAAAGATATGAAGAAGAAAAAGCAGGGAAAAGAACGAAGAAATAGAAAAAAAATACGTGGAAAAAAGAGCTAAAAAGAAAAGAGAAAAGGGAAAAAAATCTGATAATAAGAAATGGATGATGAAGAAAAAAGAAAGGAAAAGAAATAAGAAAAAGAATAGATGTGCCAGAAGAAGAAAAAAAAGGACGTGAAATGGGAAATGGAAGAAAGGAAGAAAGAAGGGAATGAACGGGAAAAATGAAAACGTGGAAAAGAGAAGCAAAAATGAAAAAGAGTAGAAAAAAGCAGAAAGAAAAATGAAAAGTAAAAGAAAATAACGATAAAAGAACGGAGAATAAAACTGAAAAATAAGTGAGAAAAAGTAGACTCAAAGAAAATAATGCATAAAAAATAATGAAAAACTAAAAATAAGGTAAAAAGAAAAAAGGTAGCATAAAATAAGTGGAAGAAGAAATGAAAACCAAATCCGAAAAGTGAACGACGGATAAAAAAAAAAAAAAAAAATAAGAGATGAAAAGAGAAATGTGAGATTCAAACACGTTTTTCTCAAACGAAAAGAAAGAAGGAAAGATGAAGGGAAACTAATTAAAAATAAGGAAGAAAGAGATGGAAAAAAAAAGAATGATATTGACAGACAGTTAAAGAATGAGTGAAGACCGAAAAAAATTGAAGAAGTATTAACAAAAATAACGATGGAAGAAAAGAAGGAAAAAGCTCAGAATAAAAAAAGGCTGGGATGGAAAAAAAAAGAGAAAATACAAGAATGACATAAGGAAGAAATGAAGGAAAGAAAGAGAAGATGATGAACTTTAATAACTACAGGCTGCGATGGGTAAATTGTCGCCATTTTATATTTTTAATTTCGCACATGCGCGTTGTTTGTCTTTGATTTTGTCGTCTGCAGATTATAGTGGGATCAGTTGGGAACCGTCTGTTACAAAGAGAGCGCCATGAAGCAATTCTCTGCGCCCCAAATTTGGAACAGGCATGCTGTATTGCTTGGCATTCGCCCCGAAATCTCCATTTCCGTGTGTTTGACTGTCAATCTGAAGACAGTGCAGAGGATTTGGAAAAAGTTGGATGAATTAAATGGTGATTACGAATGTGTTTGAAGTGATTACTAGTGATGGCAAAGTTATGCTTCCATTCATCTTTCCACGGGGGCCTCAAGACTTAACACAGAATCCTACATCAAGTGCCTTCAGGTGTTACAGCTGCGCTGGGTCAAGAGGTTGGTTATGCTTGCCAACAGGACTCTGCTCCATGGTACACAAGCAGGAGAACCCAGTCATGGCTGCCGGACAATTTCTGCGATCAGATCAGCCTTAAATCCACAGACTGCAGCCCTCTTGATTATTATGTTGATCGCAGTTGAGCGAGAGACTAAAAAAATTCATTGTAACATCAAAGATGAACTGAAGTCAAGGATTATGGCAGCATTGACCAACTTAAACAGGAAGACTGTCCAGAAACATTGCAGGATATTCTGAATTCGTCTGGGAACTGTGGCTAAAGCCAATGGCGATTTTATTGAATAAAATTATTCTTTTGGATTTCAAGATACTGTTAGGGGACCTTACCCATAATAACATAATGGACGATTCCATACTTAATAAATACTGCGCCTCAAGAGGAAGCAGGGAGTTCCGTCTGAAGTCTGAGTTCAGTCTGAAGTCTGGAGTGAAGTCCGTAAGTAGTCTGTCAGTCAATCAGAGCGAGCGAGTCAGTCTGTCGAGTCAGAGGCAGTCAGAAACAGAGTCGCGTTCAGACAATTACTGCTAAACCTGATTGTTCGTACTAACCCTTTCTACGTCTATGTATATATTCCTGTTTGTAATATATCTGTGTTATTCCATATCCGTATTCGAGTTCTTCTTTATTGGTTCTACCTTGGACTATCACCGTGGTACAAGGAACCGGACCATAACAGTGGCGACGAGCGATTCGACCTCATTCGGTGGAAAAAAAAAATTCGTTTGCCACAGCAAAGTGGCGACGAAGATTCGAACTCTGACGTGAAGAACAAACAACAAAATTCTCTCTCGTCAACATAACAGATACTTTGGTGTCATTTTGGTGTCATTTTTGCGTAATTTAGAGGATAAGTGCCTTCGTACCCTGAAAGAAGAGAGAAAAAAATGAAGCAATAAAAGAGATTCTAAGATGAGAGAAGTAAAAAAATAAATAAATTGGGGAGTGAAGAACAAATTGGAAATATACGCGAAAATAGAAGACTAAGCAAGAAAGAAAAAGAAAAAAACGGAAGAATAATAAAAAGAAAAAATAAGCAAAAAAAAAAGAGAAAGAAAGAAAGAATACGAAAAGGGAAAATGAAAAGAAAATTAAAAAAGAAGGGAATCTAAGAAAGAAAGGTGGGAAGAATGAGGTATAAAGAAATAGACGAAAAAACGTCGAAATCAAAAATAAAAAGCTGGAAATAAAAGAATGAAAAAAGAAATGAAGAGAAAGAAAGGAAACCTGAAAAGGCTAATTAAAGTACATACTTCATGTATTTGGTGTGTAAAAAAAAGATTTCAGTCTTTTTCTTAAGACATTTTCTCAGTCCAATAAACTTTCAAATTTGAACGGTATTGGTCCTTAACCTGTAAACCCAGCCCAAGGGGTGCTGACAAGTTTTTAACTTGCTTTTCTTTAAAAAAAAGAACCTAGTTTGCCGTACGGCTTTAAACACTGCGGTTTAGTGGATGAAAAGATGGATCCACAGTCATTCTAATCTGGTCTTTTCTTTTACAGCAGGATTTTTTTCTATATTGTCCTTTTTCCTTCCTTCCTTCGTGTATTTGTTGTTTCTTTCTTTCTTTCTTTCTTTCTTTCTTTCTTTTTAAGAAATTTCTGTATTTCCTGATTTTAACTTTTCCTTTCTTCTTTGTCGTTCTTTTCTTTTGTGTATTTTTTTTTCTTTCTTTCATTCTTGCTTTTTTCTTGTATTCCCTTCTTTTTTTCTTTCTTTTTGTATTTCGCTTTTTTATTTCTTCTTATTTCTTCTTTTTTCTTTCTTTTTGTATTTCTTTCTTTTTTCCTTTCTGTATTTCTTTTTAAGAAATTTCTGTATTTCCTTTCTTCCGTTGTTCTTTTTCTTTTTTTTTCTTTCTTTCTTTAAACTCTTCTTTTCTTATTTCTTTCTTTATAAATTTATTTTCGTCTTTTTTTTGTTATTTCCTCTTCTTTCTTTCTTTCCTTCCTTCTTTCTTTCTTTCTTTCTTTCTTTCTTTCTTTAAACTCTTCTTTTCTTATTTCTTTCCCTGTTTTTATCTTTCTTTATAAATTTATTTTCGTCTTTTTTTCCTGTTATTTCCTCTTCTTTCTTTTTTTCTTTCTTTCCTTCCTTCTTTCTTTCTTTCTTAGGTATATTTTCTTCTTTTTTTCACTCACTTCAAAATAATCTCAGCTTCCTGTCACTGATTTGATTTACTCTTTTTTTTTCCTCCCTCAACCTGAATAATTTTTTCGCTTCCCATTACTGAAAAATGTCTTCAAATTTCACTTTTCGATCAAGCTAGAAGCCATCTTTAGTAGCAACTTGTGTCATCTTCGGAAAATCTAATCTCCGCCATACCTTCAGATAAAATCAAGTGGATAAAATTAATTACTAAATAAAGAAATATAGTTTAGAACTGACAGTAAATGTTCGTCTATTGCATTGCCATTTCCGGGGTTATCTGATATCGTTACACACTATTTCGTTTTAATATGTATTTTCGCATTATTCACAGAGGAGATGAAATTTCCGTTGATATAAATACTCTCTCTCTCTTTCTCTCTCACACACACATATACATATATACTTGTTTTTGTATTGTTGAAACTTTGATATATTTATAGGGATAGAATGCTTAATATCAGTATTTGATCGTTTCCATTTATACACATGGTAGTCACAGAAATTAACTTTCATAGGTTATACAATGTCACATTTATTACTTCGGTTAATTTGCCATTTAACTGATAATAGCTCTATAAAATCTCATATCAGTATCATATTCACCGGATCAGCACATTATAAGAAGAAAATTAGTTTAGTGCCTTAAGCTGTATGTTAATACTCATTGTGTGGGTTTAATCACCAGGCTCTCTGTGTGGGTTTATTATTAGTTACCGGGGGCGTATTAGTAACTGATTAAGGAGAAAACTTCCCTCCCCCGGCATTCTTGTTTAAGGATAATGTTCTATATTATTTATACTTCAATGTTAGATGCTGAGTCTTTTGATACATAATGTGATTGTAGGTGGCGTAGAAGGTATTTATTTTCGTGTCTGCATTTGTATACCGAGTTTTTAAAGAATATGAGGACAAAACTATAAAGGCGAGAGGACAATAAAAGAACAAGAATTAAGGAAACAGTAGATAAAGATTGACATTGCATTTAAGTTTTTGGAGATCAGAGCTGACTGGGAAGCCAGAAGCCGGAAGAGCGTTCCACAAGCGGAAGATAAAAGCGTTAGCATAGACCCTGTAGGAAAGTGATTGAAGTTTTCATAATCGAGACTGCAGATTCTTTCTTTGATTTTATCAAGTTCAATGACAAACCAAAACAAGGATGAATGGTTTGAATATGATCTTTCCTCTCCATGTCAGCGGAAAAGCTGGTCTGGGGTTATGAACCACTTTACTGGAGGTTAGCACTAGCCGTGCTGATGGAAGGTAAAAATGGGTTCTCTCAAACGATTACAGACGTATGAAAATTATCAAGTCATTCCTTGCCCCAGTTAACAACTGAAGGTATATTATTTTTTTTAGAACAAGTTTCCAATTTGCTGGTATCGAATCGATTAGACTTACTATTATGACAATGGTTGTATCATCATCACAAATAAGGCCGTTGATAAAGATTAGGTACAACGTTTGTCCAAGCATATAGCCCTGTAGGCGGGGAGGGGGGGCGTTAATTCAAAAAGATCTAAAAGGGTAGCCGTTCTTGGTCACTTTGTGTTATGGGACCTTACCCATAATAACATAATGGACTATTCCATACGTAATAAATACTGCGCCTCAAGAGGAAGCAGACAGTTCAGTCCGAAGTCGGACGACCGGCTGATCGGCTGATCGGTTGAACTCTCTGCCTTCGGGCGGGGAGGAACCCGAACGAGGCTACGCCGAAGAGCGGAGTCTCTTTCGGGGAGGTAAACCGACCCTGAACCCGTTTATACGGGTTCAAAGGGCATATTTTTGGTCGAGCCCACGGGCTCGGAGATCCCACGTTAAACCGGCCTTGTGCCACATGATGCCCTCGTCGGTGGGGGGGGGGACTAAATACCGTTCCGTCTGAAGTCTGGAGTGAAGTCTGAAGTCTGGAGTGAGGTCCGTCAGAAGTCTGTCAGTCAGTCAAAACGAGTCAGTCAGTCGAGTCAGAGGCAGTCCGAAATAGTGTCGCGTTCAGACAAATACTACTAAACCTGATTGTTCGTACTAACACATTTTCTACCTCTCTGTATATATTCCTGTTTGTAATATATCTGTGTTATTCCATATCCGCCCTCGAGTTCTTCTTTATTGGTTCTACCTTGGACTATCACCGTGGTACAAGGAACCGGACCATAACACTTCGATTTCGCGATTCGATAAAAAAGACGGAATCAGTTCAAAAATTCGTCCAGAAATATAACCTTTCAAATTGTGAAGAAGACCAATATGCCAGACCCTGTCAACTGCCTTCGAGATATCCAAAGCAACAGCCCCAGCTTCACCATGCTTATCTAAAGACTAGCAGTAGAGCCCGTAAGAGATAGATCAAGTATCGACCATCATAAAGACTGAAAAATAAAATTGACAAAGATTATTGTTTAAGGTTGACGGACACGCATGTCTTAATTAGTTTTTGTTTTGTTTTTTTGTTTGTTTGTTTTTTTTTACGAATTGGTCAAACCCAAACTCAAACAAAAACATTGTTTTCAATCGTTATCAATTGAATAGAATTTTATTATAAACAATTGTCTTGTAAATGGAATTTTTAAAACATTCTGAATGTAAAAATAAAGAAAAAAGTGTGAAAGACAATAAGAAACACTACCTGCCAAAAAAAATTGAGGTTTTGTTGAAATCGGTTGAAAAATGTAGGAAATCCGATCCCATATATAAACACACACACACACACACACACACACACACACACACACACACAGCCAACCTGAATTTTATAATAAGTATAACTCGATAACTCGATATTAATAAGTATAACTCGATATGAGTTGTCCCCCTTTCATTCTCACGACAGTGATGCCTATTAATCGTGTTTTCAAATTGATTTCGTGCAAAAACAATTGTGTTTTTCCAATTTTTGGCGCTGCCAGAACCACTGCAATGTAATTTTACGTAGTCCTGTGAAGTTTTGTTGAAATCGGTTGAAAAATGTAGGAAATCTGATCCAACATATAAATGAAACAGACACACACACACACATAACCTGGGTTTTATAATAAGTATGATTGATATAGTCTTTCGGCAATAATCGTTTACACATCAGCAGTGGAACTAGAGAAGCGAAGGTCATATTATTTCCCGGTTTTACTGATGTGATTTGCTGTTTTGTTTCGGTATTGGCTGTTGATATGCGATTTAATCGAACTATTGTCGGATAAATGGCAAATTAACATGGGAGAATGAAATTATACAGACGGATACGACAGGGTGCTTTTTATAGTTCCTAGATCCTAAGTGGAGGTAACTGATGATTTATTAGTACATTCTCCTATACTTATTTTTTCATAAGTCCAGGCTCTTTACACATTCACTGTGAACGCCAGGGTAGTTCTTGTATTGGATTATTCGGGATGGAAGATCTCTCATTTTGAGTTCGCCCGTTAGTCCAGGAATGGAAGTATCTCACCCTCCTTGATAGACGAGGCCGCTCTGAATCTGAATGTGGATCTTCCGGATCTGTTTCTGGATGTAACCGCTTCTGGGGCAAAGATCTCTCATCAGGATCGTCTGGAATTTCCAGGGTCTCGGATGTTAATCCCGCTGAAATGTCCGATGGAGGCGCAACGGAAGCTGTGTTATCACCCTGGGATAATGTGTGAGGAATGATTCCGGCACGGTGATGTCCCGACTGGTTTTCAGTGTCGAAGAGATCAGATCTCCTCAGTAGGGTGATTTTAGGATCTGGTACATCTCCAGCAGGAGCCAGATCTCGTTAGACAGTAGTTTACCTTTCATCCGGGTGTCTCTGTCGTTGTAGTAAAAACAGAACCAGTGAATAAACTTATACCAAAGCTTTATTGCACTTTACTCTGACTACTCGTTTACTGACAGATGTTACAGGGTAGTTTTTATACCTCCTAGATCTTAAGGGGAGGTAACTGATAATTTATCAGGACAGCCTTGAGTAGGGAGACTAGTGAATTATTATCGATTATCAAAGTTAGACATGTGAATATATAATGCGCGTACTTCGTTGTTGAGCATATAGCGAGAAAATAAATATAGATAGACAGACAGACAGTTGTATAACGAACAGATTGAGATAGATAGATAGATAGATAGATAGATAGATAGATAGATAGATAGATAGATATGACCAAACCGGGATAGATAGATAGATAGATAGATAGATAGATAGATAGATAGATAGATAGACAGTTATATAACGAACAGATTGAGATAGATAGATAGATAGATAGATAGATAGATAGATAGATAGATAGATAGATATGACCAGACTGGGATAGATAGATAGATAGATAGATAGATAGATAGATAGATAGATAGATATGAACCGATTGAGATAGATAGATCTGAACAGATAGATAGATAGATATGACCAGACTGTGATAGATAGATAGATATGAAGCGATTGAGATCGGTAGATAGATAGATTCAAAGACGTTACTGCGGAGAAAGGACAATAAAAGAACAGGTTTCAGGAAGACAAAAGATGGCGATTGAGGTTACATTTAACATTTTCAAGACCGAGTGTTACAATGTAGCATAAATCTGGAAGAAATCTCCAGATGTTGGATTTGCGCAAAAATAAACTTTTAGAATCGGACTTACGGTTACATCTGGCTATTTCAACCGTAAAACGTTGAAACCTAGTTGTCAGTCTTAGTGGTACGCTTGAATTCAGGCGTTCGACGTACCCTGAAAACATTTTTTAAACAAAGAGAACGGGGGAAACCACGTCAGGGCGGTGTGAAAGTGATTGAAGTCGAGATGCCAGGTTAGGACCGATAACATTACAGAGCCGTCTAGAATCTCTAGACACATAGTAGGAGAACCAGGCTACATATGGCATGAATATTCAATGCACAGACAAACGGGAGATTTATAAATATACAAAATCTATTACGACGAGAAAAATTATCTGGCAGCACATTTAGCAATTGATTCAATATAATCATTGCAGTTATTCGTAAAGATTGACTCTTTTGAAGGTTAACATTAGCCATGATAATGAAAGGGGAAATTGTTATCTATAATGATTAAAAAATAGCAGTTTCGTTTTGGGGAAGTTAAAATTTAGAAAGCATTTCTTGCCCCAATTAACAACTAACTGATTGGAATTCATTTTACCAATTTTACTTTGTCGGATTTACTATTATCGTTAATAATATTAGCATTTTGTTTATTAAGACAGGTGTAGATAGTTGCGCCATCAACATAAATAGCGTGTTGGGAACTGTTAACATCGTTAAGGTCGTTGATGAGGACAAGAAACAATGATAGTCTAATTATATCGTCCTGGGGGATCCCGTAATAATGTGCAAGGATCTAGAAGCATGATCGTTCAATGCAACTTTCATTACAAGATTTATTAAGACCGATTGGATCAAGTCGAATATTCGGCCAGAGACACCATAACCCGTGAGCTTATGGTCAAGGACAGCGAGCCAAAACCTTTAAGATATCTAAAACTACAGCTAATCGTCATCCTTATCTATAGTTGATAGACAAATTCAGTAATTCCTTTTTTACACATTAGCGATTGACCTAGAGGAAATAAAACTAAATTGATAGAAGGCCGTGTGAAGTGAGATGCTTAAGCAATTCAGAGTCGATTCGGATCTCTAGGACATTTGCCAAAAAAGGTAAAAGTCTAAAAGAACGATAATTCGAGGAATCGGAATATTTATCGGATTTCTTAAAGATGATCGGGAAAGAAAGAAGCAAAAATGTATTTCTTGTGGAGTTTAGAGAGAATGGGAATCCATGGGCACGCTTTCTTAGTCCAATTGCAGGCGTCGAGTTTGGTAACGATTTTTAATTTCTCCGTTTATGCATATATCTGTACAAATGTATTTGTTTATCTCTATGTCTGTCTGTTTGTCTGCCAGTGTGTCTGTCCCAGCTTCTTGGAATCTATCTACCTATCTGCCAGTCTATGTTTCTCAAAGTATTTTCAAATCTATCTATCTATCTATCTATCTATCTATCTATCTATCTATCTATCTATCTATCTATCTCAGTCTGTTCAAATCTATCTATCTCAAGCTGTTCAAATCTATCTATCTATCTATCTATCTATCTATCTCAGTCTGTTCAAATCTATCTCAATCTGTTAAAATCTATCTATCTCAGTTTATTCAAATCTATCTATATATCTGTCTTTCTATCTATGTCGCTTCAAATCTATCTATCTATCTATCTATCTATCTATCTATCTATCTATCTATCTATCTCAGTCTGTTCCTTATCTATCTATCTATCTATCTATCTCAGTCTGTTCAAATCTATCTATCTCACTCTGTTCAAATCTATCTATCTATCTATCTATCTATCTATCTCAGTCTGTTAAAATCTATCTATCTCAGTCTATTCAAATCTATCTATATATCTGTCTTTCTATTTATGTCGCTTCAAATCTATCTATCTATCTATCTATCTATCTATCTATCTATCTATCTATCTATCGTCGTCGTCTCGTCTATAATTAGTCGGAGACAAAGTAATTATCTCATCTAAATGAGAATGTACAACGAAACCTTTTGAAACAGCTTCCACCCAACTCTTGTCGCACAAAGCACTGCTTGCAATACACATTTCAGCCATAGCCTCATCACTGTTTATAAATGCCCGACTGCAGCAATTCCTGTCTGCCGTGCGTGTAACCTAATTACAATGTATACAGACCTGTAACCAAGAATAACCTCCCGCTTTTCCACGTTTGATTCAAGTCAACAGCGTCGTTGGTCACCGACTAAAGATTAGAGTAGCCGATCTTAACGCTTTAGCAATTAACTTCAAAACCTCTTCTGTGTAATTCATCTTAAGGTAGATCTCAATTTGTTAGTTAAATAACCTTGCTCTTGAAAGGACGTCTCTTTTGTTTTCAAGAGCGTACCTTTCGAAAATGCTTCCGGAGATATAGCAATTAATGCAAATTGTGGTCATTGCATTAGACGTGTTATAAATGAAAACACGAAACTTAATCACTTGTAACCAAACTTCATTTTATTCAGCTTCGGTCTTCGTCAATTACCATCGAGCTGCAGGTGTGTGTCTCCGTGGCCCTCTCCGAACGTGGATCGTATATTCTCTTGTGAATTCAAAAGACTTGTCCTGTATCGGTCTCTTGGCTCGGTCTTTATATATCTTCCAATCATACGGATTTTCCCACGCGTTCATATCCTTGACACAGCTGGGTCGAACAGGTATTTACATGTGTAGGAAAGCTGTTAGCATGCGGTGGATGCCTACTCTCGATTTATGCAACTGGCTTCTTTGATGGTGTGGTGTGGGATTGAATAAAAAATATGTACTCTCATCATCTGATGTGAGTCACAGACCGTCAGTCCTGGGTCACTCAGACGTGGTGTAATGGTTAACAATCTCGCTAGATCAGTTACGGCTGAATAGTGATTTCGACACTTAGTAGGTGCTCCACACATTCGGCCTTGAGCCACATCCAAGCTACGCTTAGAATATCATTTTAGTTACTTCGACGTGATGTAATGGTTTACAAACTCGTCTCGTTAGATCGATCACAACTGAGAAATGAGTTCGATTCTCACTGGGTGGCTCATACTTTCGGCCTTGTGCCACATGAACGCTCCCCTTAGATAATCATTTTGGTCACTCCGACGTGGTCATAGGCTGAACAATCTCCTCACAGATGAAGAAGAAACATGAGACAAAAGAAATGAGGTTCTACAGAAGGACTTTCATTTTGTATGGACGGTATTCTTGTATAAGTCGATACTCGAAATAAGGTCATAGGCTAGACAATCACCTCAATGATGAGAAAGACACTTGATACGAAAGAAATAAGGTTCTACAGAAGGATTTTCATTTTGTATGGATGGTATCCTTGTATAAGTCGACACTTAGAAGAAAGCTAAACAATGGTCATAGGCTAGACAATCACCTCAATGATGAAAAAGAAACTTGATACGAAAGAAATAAGGTTCTACAGAAGGATTTTCATTTTGTACGGATGGTATCCTTGTATAAGTCGACACTTAGAAGAAAGCTAAACAATGGTCATAGGCTAGACAATCACCTCAATGATGAAAAAGGAACTTGATACGAAAGAAATAAGCTTCTACAAAAGGACTTTCATTTTGTATGGACGGTATCCTTGTATAAGTCGACACTTAGAAGAAAGCTAAAATATGGTCATAGGCTAGACAATCACCTCAATGATGAAAAAGAAACTTGATACGAAAGAAATAAGGTTCTACAGAAGGATTTTCATTTTGTATGGATGATATCCTTGTATAAGTCGACACTTAGAAGAAAGCTAAAATATGGTCATAGGCTAGACAATCACCTCAATGATGAAAAAGAAACTTGAGACAAAAGAAATAAGGTTCTACAGAAGGATTTTCATTTTGTACGGATGGTATCCTTGTATAAGTCGAGACTTAGAAGAAAGCTAAAAAATGGTCATGCTGAATGATTTAAAGAAAAGATAGTAAATCTAATTGCAAAGTAAAATTTATTTTAGTAGCTCGTCGATTCGTTCAGTTTAGCCTTTCGGTTTCTCGATCTGCAAATACCAGGGGATCAGTGATAATTGTGATGATTTTGAATACTGAAAAATTCCAGAATTTCAAATAAAATTGAAATAGATAGATATGTATGAATACATAGATACATAGATACATAAATAGATAGATAATGAACAGACAGAGATAGATAGATAGATAGATAGATAGATAGATAGATAGGCAAGCAGGCAGATAGATAATGAAAAAACTGAGATAGATAATTATGAAAATAGATACTTAGGCACACATTTTTAGTGATGTTTTATTTATTTATTTATTTTTTGTAAATGCAAGGGATATTGATCTATCGTATTTAGTTGTAAAAGTCGCGGTTACAAGAATTGTAGAAATTAAGATGAAATTCAAATTCCGATCAGTGATAGTCGCCATCTTTGTAATGATTTGAATACTGAGTTTTATATGTTTTTCTTGTAACGTCAGCGTAACATTATTTTGGGAGATTTACCTCTTGATGGTGTCTCTGGGAAAATTAAATTCATTTCTCAATGTCTATAGCAGAATCAAATGTGAATCTGTTGATGACAATATCTGTAATATATGTTGAAAATTTGTTTTCCTAAGTATTATGTTATTCACAAGGAGCAGACTTATATGATTGGAATGTTTATATATATATATATATATATATATATATATGTGTGTGTGTGTGTATGTGCGTGTGTGTGTGTGTGTGTGTGTGTGTTGCGTAGAGTATTTTGCTCAACTCTGGCATACATCGTCATTGATTTTTTTTAGCTGTAAACTGTTATGGGTGTCGGGTCTTCCAACATCATAAACATTTTTCAGGGTGACCCTATCGATACTGATCGATTTGTGTGCCAGCCGTCAGTCACAACCTGTATCCCACTGAGACGCCTTCATTGATATATTCTCGATATTTCCTTCATTTTACGACAGGGGTAAACATCCATAGCGCTAGAGAGATATGACTAGAGCTTAATCACACTCCTTTCTTGCCTCGATTGACAGCATAACAAAACCTTTAAGCTTGTTTTATAGTATTCGGCCGAGCTAGCTCGGACATCCATGAGTCTATTACGCCAACCATCACGGCCCTCTGTCAAGGTCAGAAGGTTATTACGCTGCCATTCTGTACTATAACATAGGTGGTCAATAGAGGTGGTTGCTAGGCGACCAACCCGTTTTCCTCCATGTTCAGAGCAGTAGATCACTAGCAGGTTTTTGTTTTGCTTACTAGCAGTGTTCTGCAAAGTATATTCGTATAAGATTGTAGAAATATCAGGAATGGCTTCCCAGAAATGTGATTTAGTTGGCTGTTGTCTACAAGAGATGTTAAGTATAGCTTTTAGCATCTGAGTGTAGGTTCTATCAAGATTAGACTCAAGGGTTTCAGTTAAAATCCAAGCAGTGACAACATAGTTTAAAACCGTCTTTAGCAGTGCAAAAGAAGTTTCGTTTGAGATTGTCTGGTAGATCAGATTTCCAAATTATATCTATTTTATTCAAGGCGCTCACGCTTTAACTATGCGAATTTTCACATCCTTATCAGAGGAATTTATTTCGCTTCCAAGGTAAGTAAAAGATTCCGCAGATTTTATTCATTCACCTGAGACAGTTTGTAATGAGCCTTGCTGGTTGAAGCTTATGAATTCAGTGTTAGAAGCAATGACATAGAGTCCAACATCGTTAGCAGCATTTTCTAGATGATGTAGGAGAACTGTGGCATTGTTAATGGTGTCTGCAGTGAGAGCTAGGTCATTTGTATAGTCAGCTTTTTAGCAGAGACTTAGTGATAATGTATAACCTAGATGATGATGTTTGTCGAGGGAAGTTCTCATTACGTAGTTAAGAGTGATAACAAGGGAAAAAGTGTAATGATATGAGAGCCACTCGAGGTAGAGCGTTACAGAATAAAAAAAAAACACAGATTATGCGCATATGTGAGGACGATAACGGTTAGTTCTAGACTTGAATAGGTTAAGATTGTAACCATCGGGAAAGCATCCTTTTGGGAGTCGGTTCTACAAAACAGCGGTTCGTGAGAAGTGGAACTTAGATCTCACGAATGGAATACGAAGAGAATGTGCGAGGCATGACTGACTGCTCTTATCTGTGAAGCTTAGAACCGGTGGAACTAAGAAATGTTGTTCGTCTGAAACACTTTCCCCGGAAATAGCTATAGAGTAGTGAGAGACTTACGAAGTTTCGTCTGTGGAAAAGTTGTGCTATCAACACTGTCCCATCAGCATTGTTGGAATTTTTGGGTAACCTGGTTTACTAGTGAGCCAGCCAAAATGAGCTGACTCATTTTATAGTTCACCAAGAGAAGGGTTAACCAATCAGAAGGCTCAAAATATTCAATGCGACGTGTATAAAGGCGGCCATGTTTTTCCCGAATATGCACTGCCAGCCTTTGATAACCCGGACGAGGCTCCGCCGAAAGGCAGAGTCTCGTTCGGGGCGGTTGACTGCCCCTGAAACCGTTTATACGCGTTCGAATAGGGAATATTTTTGGCTGAGGCTACGGACTCGGAGATCCCACGTTAATCCCGGTCTTGTGTCACATGTAACCCTCGTTGGTGGGGGATGGCTAAATATCCCTGCCAGCCTTTGATATCGAAGACTGAAGAATTACGGAACAGCTTCTGGTGGTATTGGCGATATAGTCAGATTCAGTAGAGTGTCTGACTCGTGAGTGTTAATCTTTAACGTTGTTTCATTGAACAGATTACGTACTGCGCTGTATTCTATATACATAGACTATGGTGAACATGGTCAACAAGCATGTCTTATGTTTGTCCGAGAGTAACAAATCCTGGTAGGGCTTCTACAGGATGATTGAAAAGTAACTCCCTATTTTATGTATGGTGGACTCTTCCGTTTTGTAAATATTATAGTTAGATGGAAAAATCCATCATACAAAGAATAGGCAGTTACTTTTTAATCGCCCTGGAGTTCTTTCAGGATCTTCTTTCTTTAAAAGTTATGGTT